GCAATTAAAATTAAATGTCCTTGTCGATCGTGCCCAAGGAGGAAGCAGTTTAAAGGACGGTGACGTTGAACTGATGGTAAATATTCAAATTTAATTGATACATTTTTGTAATTATTGTTATTTGCTGTCTCTAATAAAATTTAAGTTATTATAAGATATGTATATATAATTATTTAATATTGAAATATTTATATAAGGCTAATGTAAATTTATAATACATAAAATTTGTTTCAAATATGAAGTTTATATCTAAAGTGAGTTGTACATTATAAATTTTACTAAAATAGAATTTAAAATCCATATTTGGACGATTCCATTTTTAAATGTTATTTATTTTTATTTTACACTTACAATGTAAATCTTACAAATTACTTAAAACTAATGCAAGTTTATTATTATAAAGAAAACGTTATCAATGATTATTAATTATTGTAAATTTGGCTTTCACGTATGTGTATTTACTATAATATATAACATTTTAAGATGTGTTATATGAATTTGAATAATAATATATAACATTTTATTATAATATACTAATATATGTAATAATTAAAATTGCTTGTAGCTTCATCGAAGACTTCTAAAGGATGATGCATTTGGTGTGGATGAAGCATTGAATGAAACTGCATTTGGCGAAGGTTTAGTAGTGAGAGGTACGCACTATCTCTTTGGAGGTAAAGTGAAAAACATGGATACATTCGTATTAAAGGAAAAGGAATTAGCGCTTAAGCTGGCCTTGCATCCGTGGATCTTAGGTGCACCAATTAATTTCAGCAGTATCGAAAACATATGTGCTGTACTCAAAAGTTTCGTACGTATAATATTTAATCTCTATTTAGGTTTAGAAGATACAAAATTATTTATAATTATATGTGCATTTATTTTTAAGAATTTTTTTATTTAGGACTTTTTGCTTAATCATTTCCCGCGTACGTTATTGTAATGTACATCAAATTTGAAGACATTATATCCGTTAAAATTATTTAATTTTATCGACATAAACTAAAATCTAATGTACTGTGACGTGACGTTTTTTCATTCATCACAAGATCATAGAATATGACTAAGAAAAGTACGGAATTTACGTCCTGTGTCCTTTCTATTTAAGAATGCGGGCATGTCTGCGCACATTTAAAATTTTTATGCTTATTTCTATATTTTTTATTGGCTGTTATTGTTGTGAATATTTCTGTAAAATTATTGGCAGTTTCTTAAAGTACTTTGTAAATTTTGCATCGTCTCATCGGATTAACAAGTTAGGAATGGATAATAAGATGGCAAGGACGAGGAGTAGAAAAGAGAGAACTCCCTACTAAAAAAACAATTACGTCACAAAGTTACATAATTAAATCGCATGTAATTAAGACAAGTAAATTACGTAACAAATTGTTTCAAATCAGTACGTGATCTTTCAAAATGAATCTATGAAATGGGAACCAGAGACGAATGATATATTATCCAAATTATATAATCAAAAAATCATTGGAAATGATTGTTTTTCGTTACATTAGAAAACCTCTTCGATGGGCACCTTGGGCTCAAAAAGTGTTATGAATAATTAAGATAGAAGTCGTAAACGCGAAAGTTCATAAAATTAGCTAAAAATTAATTGCATATACTTTTTTATGCCCTTTACCCTTCTTTCTCCATTAAAGATTCTGACAATGAGTGATTGAGAGCATTAGCGTGGGGTCACAATGCAAGTAGTTTAAAAGTATATTAAAAAGTCTTGAAAAGGCAGTGAAACGTGTCGCAATAAGCATCACGCCGAAATATCTATTCAAATGTAATAAGAGCTAAGGCTCTAGCTGGCATGTCATAATTAGCTAATTGGTTTGTAACCGCCCGAATGGGATAAATGATTCTAATAAAATCAGGCTGAAGGAGTTAAAATAGTCTTTCAAAATTTGTTATATCGATTGTCAATTATCTTGTAAGAAAATATGATATTTTGACATGTTTTCATTAATAAACATTTATACATTGTTACAGACTTCTGGTCTTAATAAAACATTGCCACCGAATGTGCACATTCTTACCTTAGAACCTTGGAAAGATGACACAATTTTATTAAGATTGGAGCATCTCTTTGAAGTCGGCGAAGGTCTGCGAATGTCTCAACCAGTAGAAGTTGACATTCAGGTAAATTTTTATTTTTTTGAAAGTAAGTCTTTAATTATATATTTTTGCAATTATCAACATATTACAAAAATTTGATTACTATAATTAATCAGAGATATTAATTAGAACCTGTCTTTACAATAAAAGAAAAATTCTTTTGCAATTCTTTTATCTTATCTCAATAGAATCTGTTCTCGATGTTTTCAATTGAATCGATCAAAGAAACCACATTAGGGGCTAATCAGTTATTAAGCGAAAATAAACCTATGAAATGGGAATCAGAGACGAATGATATCCAAAATGGAAATGAAAGCAGACAAACTGTAGAGGTTCACGACAATGTAATCAATATTCTCTTGAAACCGATGGAAATACGGACGTTTATTCTCACAGTAAAACGAAGACCTTTTTAAATGTGTATATATGTAATAAATTTTACTACTTGTGGATACATGATTTTCTTTATTACTATATATAATAAAATCACATTAAATATATATTCGATTATTTCTTATATGTATATGTAAATCTATAAATTGTTATGTGAAATAAAACAAATGATGTCATGACTTAATTATAAAAATATATGAAAAGGAAGATATGGAAATCGTAATAATTTGAAAAAAATGATATAACTTATATTATGATGCATATTTATGTGCGCTATGAATGATGTACTTTAAAATAGCGAGTTGTAATCTTCATATATCTTCTTTTACAATTGACACGCGCAACAAATATTATTGCTAAATATTTGCTTCACACAGATTTTAATGTAATTCGTAGTATATCGTTTATTGACAGTACGATAAACATTGCGTCAGAAATTCGAATAATAATCGTCTTTTTCAAATGTAAGAACAATACATTTAAATATCTATTTTCCTACGATGCGAACGTACAATTTCTAATGTACGATTATACGTAACATTTATTCTCACAATCTACAAACGTAATGTATTTCTCTTTTCCGCTTATTCACGAGCGTAATGTATTTCTTTAGATGCAAATATTCTATCTTGACATTGCCACTTCTTTCACGGATGCATCTCATAAATGAAAATTAGAAGATTCGAGTTTATATTATCATTACATTTGAGCGCTCGTAAACAACGGAAAGAATCTATACATATACAGATTTCTTGTTACACGCGATCAATAGAGTTCAAGTTGTTGCATACAGAGTGAGAACCCGTATTCAATATATTTCGCATTTATTTGAGGTGTTCATTGAAATAATTTATAGTCTCAAAAAATTAACATCATTTAAATCGCTGTTAAACTATTGTGCCAATATTTATCACAGCTATGAAATTGCTTCACAAAAAAGAATTTGTTACGCATAACAAGAAATATATAATTATTTATATAATATGTATCAAGCGTAATGTAATATCAAGAAACCTCAACTGTTTAATGGCTCGAAGACAATGTCAAGGTTCCTCAATCTAATATTAAATATATCGACTGCTGTTTCGTCGAGTGTTAAATCAGAGCAACATACACGTGTACTTTGGCACAAAATAAAAAATGCACTACAGAGTATTCTTTTACATTTCAATGTATTACATATTGTTTGAATACCACGTTTATAGCCCTCCCGGATATTTGATAATAACAATCGTAACACTCCTCAAATGTATGAATGACAAAATGTAATGTCAGATATATGATATAAATACTTCACATTTGAAATGACATAAATGTTTGAAAATTACGAATAATGTATAAAATCTAAATTTCAACTTCCACAGTCTTATATATATATAGTTATAATAAAAAAGAGCAGTGAAAAAATAACTCTTTATGTAAAAAAATAAATCAGAGTTTGACGAAAGATATATCGTGATATTCTAGCAACGTGTATATATCTATAACTGGAGCATATTCTAAATGTATCGAACATTCTGTGGGTACGGTCAAAGCATTTAAATGATCAATCAGAAGAATTTTACTAATTGACCAATGTCAGGGTTGTGTGGCTTCGCGGCAAGACGGTTGCTTGCTAATATGGACGACTCGAGGCCTCGGTTCAAGTCCCGGCACCGATGAAGCTCCCTGATATCTTTCTGGTGTTATCGCTTATTTCTTACTAATTGACCAATCACAAAGATGCTTCCAAGCATTCTTTATCATTAGTATCACATCGACCGTACCTTATACATCGAATATTCTGTACATTATTTTAATTCTCTCGTTTTACGTTTTGATATAATAATTAATCTAACGATTATTTTATGCATTTAACAGCTGTACAAACATTTGTCTGTAATTGTATATAAAGTGTGACATTTTAACAGAGAAATAAAATTTTACAGCAATTTTATGCATTCTCTTCTTGGCACACTAGACTATTAGTTTTTGTACAGATATAAATATACATATTCTCATACAACACAGATGTTTGCAGCATGATTTTTACAACATTGCATATTAAAGTGCAATCGTGAAAATTTTTTTGCAATATTACTTCCGCAATAACATTTTACAAATATTGTGAAAAATAATGTTCTATGCTTTCGTCGCGACTAATATATATCACAAAATAGACATGGCGTCTATTTTGAATTCTAGTAAATAAAAATTCTTATAAGATAGAATAAAAAGCGAAGAATTAGCAGATTTTTTATTTACATTTTAATAAAATAATTTTTTAAAAGGTCAGTTTTAAAAATTAAATCTAAAAAACGAAAGTAAATGAGATATATATTTTGGTTCTTCTGTACAAAAATTAATTAAAAAAATTTTTATTGAAAGTTATATGTCAAAGTATTGTAATATAATGACATTTAAAATATAAAAAAAAATATTATAATGTAACATATTGTATTACTGCTACATTGTATTGCAATATTTTTAAACGGATTTTGAAGCGGACATTTTACATTGTTGCATCATCATTGCAACAACATTTTGCAAAGTTTTTGCAATGTTGCAAAAAAATCTCGCAATTAAATATTTCTACAATCTTTTTGTGATGTATGGATTTTTTATTTTATCTCCTAATTTACTAGAGACGTTCATTTTCCTCAGTTTCTGTATCGACCCCATCTTTCGTCATTTCGTTTATCTGCTTCTCCTCTTCGGAAACAGTAGGCACTTTAGTATGAGTCGAATCGTTCCATGATTGAATTTCCGCAGATCCAAATAGCCAAAATAAGACTGTTGCCGATGTAAATACTATCGCTGATATCCAAAACATTATACGCCATTCTTCCACGCCGTTCTATAATACAAAATATAAATACAAATAGAATAAAAAATAATAAAAAAAGGATATACAGTTATATGTATATAATATAATAACAAAAATGCACAAATACACAAAAATATAAAAAATATATTATTTCATATACACGTATGATGTGCTTTTTAATAAACCGCATTTTTAAAAACTAGAAAACTTATTTATATTTTGAATGTAATTTTGATATGGAAAGATAACGTACTCTTTCATTGGTTAAAGCGCCAATAATGGGTGGAATAATGAATCCAGGAAAACTACCAAATGTGTTCATAATTCCATATAAAGAACCGGCATAGTTTGGTGCCAAGTCTTGATGATTCTGTAAATTGGTCTGGCAAGCGGCTCCATTAAAGGTCAATGCCAATATTAACATTATCATTGCAGTTGTAGCATCACAACCTGCGTATGTCATTACTACCAGACAAATTGCAGGTCCCATATGAGCTATTAACAGTCATATTTATGAATTATCGGTTAAATAATAATTGTCTACGTACATACATTTTAATAACTCAATTTTGAAATTGCGACAAATGTAACTCTGTTTCAAATTACTTACAGAATAACATAAATAATTTCCTTATCCAACCTAAAGATAAAAAGTTCTTTCTTCGCACGTAATCGCCCGCTGCTGCAAATAATACTCCAGCGCCTAATCTAGCTATGTAAGGTAATCCAGTTATTGCGCCACCCTATATATAAAAATATTAAAATGTCTTTAGTAATGAGAAAGAAGACTGTAAAATAATATTTTACAATTGGAATAATCTTTATGAAACAAAATCATAAGATATACCGATTTCATATTGAAACCAAGGACTTCCAACGTGTATTTGGGTCCATTTGTAGCGATAAAATAAATACCCCACATATTTGCAAAGTGGGCCCACAGTAATACTAGAAACGGTGGAGATGTAACGACTGCTTTCACCGGTAACTGGACCTGTATAAAAGATATATTAGTTTATTTTATAATTATTTACATTTTTTATTTCTATCGTTTAATACTTTATTTGACGAAGAATGTGTATACATTATTTATCAAATAAAGTATTAAATGATAAAAAAAAATAATTACATATATATATGTATATATAATATATATGTCATACTTTTTGTTTCGAGACGGAAGTGCCTATTTTTTCCTTTATATAAATTTTCTCTTTTTCTGTGATACCAGGATGTAAATCCGGTGTATCGTAGATTAAAAATACCCACAAGGCATAAAAAATTAACATAAGCCCGCTTGTAACATAAAACGCAGCTTTCCATCCGTAAGCACTGATCACTGCACCACATAAAGCGAATGTTACTACGGTTCCAAATGGACCACCTTGAAAAAAAGAAAACAGTATATGTGAACATATATTTTGTCAAAAAAGTTTCTATTACAAAGATAAAGAAATGAAGAAGAGAATAATACCTTGCATAGTCCATACAAACATGCCCTTCTCACCAGGAGGCACCCATCTGGCAATCATCGCGTGAAGAGCAGGATAAACAGCGCCCTATAAATTAATATATTAGTCTTACTAAAAATTTACGTATCTCACTCTTCAAAATATAATTTATATAATGGTATTAAACATAATATTTAGAAAAGACGTATATAATGTTTAGGTGACTTACTCCGAAAAATCCCATTACAAAACGAAGTGCAAAAACAAAACCATAGTGAACACTAGCAGCCCAAGGCATCAGAAGATTTAATACTGCGGGTATTAATGTAGCGAATCTAACATCAGAGATAAAGAATAAGTATAATAAATACAGATAGTTGATTAACGGTAATCAATTTCGATTATACTTACGCTACTACTTTAGAACCTCCGTATTTTTCAGCTAAAAGCCCAGCTGGTACACTAGCCGGCAAGACACCATAAAAATATCCCGACAGCAGTAATCCTTGAATATGTTGATTCCATTCAAAACGCTCTCCGAACTAAAATGTAAGAAAAGATACATTTATAATATTACAGAATATACACTTACTGCAATAAAAGAATTCTATTACATGAAGAAATATCTATTAATAATGTTCGGAGTAAGCGGTTGTATTACATTTTATACTATATTTAAATTTAATATAATATCAAATATAAAATTTGGAAAGAAAGGTACTAGGAATTAAGCACAGATAACTTTACGCAAATGCTGATATATATCAAACAAAACTTTTTTATTTTTATTTATGTAATTTTATTGTCTCTGAAGAAAGCTTAAAAATGAGCTGAAATATGTAAGCATAATTATTATTTTAAATTTTAGTAGTTATGCATCTCCTAAAAATGGATTTTGGTGGCTCGAAGAGACTTGTAGCGTCTATCAGTTTTTGAACATGGCTGGAGACACTACCGCGTCTCCTGATAATAAAAAAGTTTTGTCTGATATATATCAGCATTTGCGTAAAGTTATCTACGCTTAATTCCTAGTGCCCTTTTTTTCCAAGTTTATATTTGATTTATACAGGAGTTTTTGTTATTTAAAAATTATTATATGTTTTAATATAATATAATATTCGTAATATTGTTATCAAAAATTACGTTAGTGAATTAACAACATATTCACGTGAAAATTTTAGCGAACGAGACTTACATCTTTAAGCACAATACTCTTATTGCTTTTTATATTCGCTACACTGCAAGCTGGTCCGACGCCACCATCTTTGCTTGTAGTGTTTACCATAGCGACAATAGTTATAGATAAATTAGTACGAATGACGTAGGAGAACATACAAGCCAAAAACATCATTGCTCCGAGGATTCCTCTTCGAGGGATTTTCTCTGTAACACGTAAACATCTGTTGTTATAAAAAGTCAATTAAGATAATAATTATATCAATGTACTAAATACAATATATTCTCAACGATGTAATAATAATGTATTAACAATTTTCTAATAGTAATCTAATAAACAATTCAATATATATATTTCAAAAATAATTTTTTTTTAAGTTTACAATTATTATTAAAGTATATTAATTTTAATATCATATTTGTCATTAAGCTAACGACATTTGTAAGTTGTAAATCATTTTTGTATTATTTTAATTATTATTTATTACTATTGCAATTGATAACTTTTTGCAATATTTATTAATTTTTTTTTGTTAAAGTACTTGTGTATATTTCATGTCGGAATAATACAAGAATGATTATTGTATAACGCGAAGCATTTCTGTTTGCTCTGCTAAAATCAAGAATGACCTTTGAATCGGCACACAATACCTAATAATCTTAAATCAAAAACGAACGATCTTCGACAATAAACATCTCGTTCCATTAAGTATATGATACCCAACGAAAGTGCAGGAGCAATTGAGTGATCGTTTTGCGATGCACATTATACTATTAAAATACAATTTATACATATAAGATTATTTTTATCATTTTTTATTAAATTATTTTAGTTTTAATAAAT